GAGCAAGGGATGGAATGCTACGTCCTGTAGCCCAAATCCAGCCTACTGCCTTTTTTTAAATGGTACTAGGGATGTAATTTAGGGCCTTCACACTAATATGTCCCAGCCTTTTCTCTTTTTAATTTTGAGACTGGGTCTCACTAAGTTGCAAAGTCAAGCTGGGCTTGAACTTGTAATCCTCCTGCCTCAACCTCCCAGAATGCTAAAATTACAGGTGTGTACTACTACACCTGGATCCTAATGCCTCTCTTTATGAAATGAGTTTGTTATGTGCATTTGTTTTCATATTGTCTTTGGTGCTTTTTGCTACAACAACAGAGTTGCAGAAACTATCTGACCCTTTACAGAAAGTTTGTCAATACCTACCATAGAGAATCTCTTAGGGCTGGGGGTATAGCTCAGTATTGAGCACTTGGCTTGTGTTCTTAGGCCCTGGGTTCTATCCCCAGCAACAACTACAGCAACAAAAACCAAGCAAACAAACAAACACACCCTTTATGTAACAAATGAATACTATCTAGACCTAGAAGAAAAAATAGACCTAACAGAAAAAAATGTATGCTCAGAACCACTTACAGAATTAGATTATGTCTAATAAACTGAGTTAAGTAGTCAAGTCAGCAGACTATTATTATAATCTGGTGTGAAGGAAAGAACATTAAGTGATAAGAACCGATGATGCTTATGAATAAGAACAACAAAATGTATGAGTGACCTCACAAAAGGTTGCTTAAGAAATGACAACCGGGCTGGGGATTTAGCTCAGTGGTTCCTCTGCCTGCCTCATATGCACAAGGTCCCTAGTTGGCTCCCCAGTACCAAAAAAAAAAAGAGCCTAGGGCTGGAGATTTAGCTCAGTGGTTCTACGACCTGCTTTACAAGCACAAGGTCCTGAGTTTGATCCCCAGCACAAACAAACAAACAAAAAATGACAACCTAGGGGCTAGTGATTAAGCTCAGTGGTTCCACCACCCACCTCACAAGCACAAGGTCATGAGTTTGATCCCCAGTACCAAAAAAAAAAGAAAAGAAATGACAACCTCCTAAACTAGGTTCTATAGAAGAATATAGATCTGAATGACCTAAAACAAAGTTGGACATTCCTAATCTCAAAATCCAAAATCTTCCTAAATTCAAGTAGGAGCATTTTAAATTTTAGATCAAGAATAGTCAACCAAAAAAGTCCATGTAAATTCTACCATACCTGAAAACTCTGAACTCTGAAACACTTTTAGTCCCAGATATTTTAGATAATGTATATTCAACCCATAGACATGTTTAAATTATCACTGGCTGCCAGACGTGGTGGCACCTGCCTGTAATCCCAGCGCTTGGGAGGTTGAAGTATGAGGATTGCCGTGAGTTCAAGGCCAGCCTGAACTACATACCAAGACCCTGTCTCAAAACAAAACAAAAAAAATCATTGGCAGAGGTACCAATAGAAGTAACTGGTTCAAAGCCTTATATACACTATTTCCTTGCAGATAAATTTAGAACCATATTCAAGTGCCTCTACATAACTCTTCATAATACTTTGTTTTCTTTTTCATGAAGATTGTCATGGGGTAGAGTGATGCAATAAGAGTACAAATAAACTGGGTGAGGCACATAGCACACATGTAGTCCCAGCTACTCAAAGAGGCTGAGGAAGATGGCAAGATTTAAACTGTAGTACTGCAAAAAGAAAAAAAAAAAAAAAAAAAAAAAGGACAGAAAAGAAAAGGTTCTCAAAAGTAAACAGAATTCTTGAAGGTTCCCAAGCCCTCCCAGAAGCCTGGACATTCCAAAATCATTAGCTGTAAAGGTATGAGGGTGAAGCTCCCGATCTAGATTTTTTGAGCACGAGTAGGTGTTACCTGCCTTCAACAGAATAACATGGTAAGGACATTCCTGGACAGTAGGTATGTTACTTGCCTTTCATAGAAAGTACAAAAGAAAAATTGTTGAGAAGGGTTTTAGCTAGAAGAGTATTACCAATTCACTCACATGTTGTTGAAAGGGAATATAGAAGGGATTATCAGGAATATACAGTAGGCAAGATTTAACAGGGAAGGCTGAAAGAGGTGGAGGATTTCAAGTTCAAGCAGGGTTTCAAGTTCAAGGCCAGCCTGGTCATCTTACCAAGACCCCATTTCAAATTTAATTTTTTCTTAAATGGGGATGTGGCCCAATGGTAGAACATTTGCCAACATTCCTGAGGCCCTGGATTCAATTCTCAGTACTAAAATTTAAAAAAAGCAAACATTCTGACTTCTGATTCCAGAGAACAATCACTTCAAACACAGTTACTAAGTCATTCTTAAAGAATTCAAGGACTGGGCTGGGGATTTAGCTCAGTGGTGCTGTGCCTGCCTCGCAAGCACAAGGACCTGAGTTCAATCCCCAGCACCATAAATAAATAAATAAATAAATAAATAAATAAATAAATAAATAAATAAATAAAAAGAATTTGAGGATACCTCCCACCCCCATTGAAGTATTACACTTTGCTATTTTATGCCCATTAAAGGCCAAATTCCCAAGATTTAAAAAGAAGAAAAACTAACTTTAGAACACTTTCATAGAAAATGATAGGGCTAAGGGTGAAGCTTAATAGTAGAGTGTTTTTACCATGTTTCAAGGCCCTGTGTTCAATCCCTAAAGCTACAGGGGCGGGGGTGAGAGGGTAGCCTAATAGTAGAGAACATGCTTAGCATGCACAAAGCCTTGTGTTTGATTTTTCAACACACACACATAAAGAAAAGAGCATCATGAATTATGCTCCTAAGTCCCCGTTCAACTACTAATTAGCATTACGACCGACATATATTTACTCAGGCTTTCCAAGACTCATCTCTGAAATTAAGATGGAAACTGATTAACACATACTGATTTGAGTTTTGGCAAAGATTCGGTGACAGAATATATACACATATGGCTCACTTATTGACCAATAAATGGCATCCAATTAAGGCTACATGTCACATATAAACTGCAGAAAATTAGCCTTGCAAGGTGGCTTTTTCCCCAGAAAGGTTAATGTAAGACTTGAATAGGCTAAAGTGACTCCATGCTAATAGGCCAGACTGTGCTTCTTCATATGCTAATTGCTACCTTGGTTAACAGCCTGCCCAGGGGCAAATGGTTTGACAAAAGGTGACCCTAGAACATTTCCTGCATAAGATAAGCAATGTGTTTGCAGTCTTGTTCTGTGAATTCCCTGACTCTTTGTTTAGAAAAACCTTATAAAAAGTACCTCAGCCCCTGAGCAGTTGCCTCTCTGAGCCACCTGGCTCCGGGAGTGCCATCTGGCCAGACTAATAAAGGTCTTTTACCATCTAGGCTGGTGTGTTCCTTCCTGGGTTTCTCGGTTCTCTGTCGTGTTCCCGGAGCCTCGCTGGGTGTTAGGGCCCAGCTTCGTGGAGGCCTTTCGGCTGTTCACGCTCCGTGGAGTAGAAGTGAGACTTTAGGTCTTACAGTTAAGACATTTACAGAAATATACAGAAAAGCCAAAGGGGGACAAATACTAAAATTATCCAGGATAAAGTTAAAATTAGGAAATATAAATTATAACTTTTTGGATACTCATGAATTGACTAATCTTAAAAGTTAGCCCTGAAAAGGAAGAAATGGGAGAAACATATAGAATAAAGGAGTTAATTACAATGATACATACAAACAGCCCAATTTGTGAATATACTCTTGGTGAATCAAATTTGAATGTGGAAAAAATCAAAAGCAGGGCCAGGGATTTAGCTCAGTTGTTCTGCCACCTGCCTTGCAAGCACAAGGTCCCAAGTTTGATCCCTGGTACCAAAAGCACACTAATTTCATATGTTTTAGGATTAGCTATAAACACAAGTCCCATAGAAAGCAAATGAGAGAGTTGGGCTGGTATGGTAGTGTACACCTGTAATCCCAGCTACTCAGGAAGCTGAAATAGGAGGATTCCAAGTTTGAGGCCAGTCTGAGCAATTTATCAGGACCTCACCTCAAAACAAAAAATGCTGAAGGTATAGCTCAATGGTAGAGTATTTTGCCTAGCATGCATAAGGCCAGTCCTTGCTTCAATCCTTAGTACAAAAAAAAAAAAAAGAAAAAAGAAAGAGAGAGAGAGATTTTGTGGATATAATTCATTTAAACTATGCCCGGAGTCGGCAAACTGTTTCTAAAGTACCAGGTGGTGACACTTCAGGCTCTGTGGACTATAAAGTCTGTTGCAACTACTTGCTCTCATAAAAAGTCTTAGACAACAATGAATAAAGGATAACCATAATTTAACCAAATCCTATAGAAAAAGGAGCTTAGAGGCTAGAGGTATAACCCAGTGGTAGAGCACATTGCTTAACATGTATAAGGCCCTGGGTTTGATCCCCACCACCAAAAAATGGGAACTTATGACACCTAACTTACTTGGGAACCATTTCAGTCTTTCTGATCCTCAGCAGTGATGATTACAGATTGAATAATCATATAATCTACCTAAACTACATTGAGAAGGTTATATTATAGATGTAGAGTATGGTACAGGATTTGAAAGTCCTTATCTGTCACTTGTAATGGTGTTTCTAAGAGTTTCCCTGGTAGGAGTCAGGGCACAATCAACCTTTCTTCCCCTACTTACCTTGTTCATAATTACCTTAATCACTGAGAAGAAACCCCCACTCTTCTGCTGTGTGGTCAATCACAGAAGATCTGGTAGACACTAAAACAGTTTTCAAAGATATCCTTCACACTGGGCATGGTAGCACATGGCTATAGTCCCAGCACTCAGGTGGCTGAGGTAGGAAGATCACCAAGAGTTTGAGGCCAACCTGGGCTACATAGTGAGCTCAAGCCTGGCCTAAACTTCATATTAAGACCCTGTCTCAAAAAAAAAAAAAAAAAAAAAAAAAAAATATCCTTCACAACCCAACCTAATGAGGCGTTACAAAAAAGAAGATTCCTTGCAGGCGCAAGGTCCCGGAGTTCAATCCCCCATACCAAAAAAAAAAAAAGAAGAAGAATGCTTTCATCATCTATTACCTTCCCCGAACTCAGCTGGATCAGCCTCCTTTGCATTGAAAGACATCAGCAGGTATCAAAAGGGAGAAAAGAGGAAGGAAACAAAACACAAGATGCTGCTTAATTTAACCCAAACATTTTAATGCAATTTTTCATATCATAATATAAAATCCAATATGACACTGAGATACATTATACATTTTTAATGCGCTTGTGTGTGTGTGTGTGTGTGTGTGTGTGTGTGTGTGTGTGTGAACAGCCAGAACCTTGCATGTGCTAGGCAAGGGCTCTACCACCGGGCTACATCTACAGTTCATAGTATACACTTACTAGTTATTTATTCCTTTGCCCAACCTTACAAGAATGACAGTTCTATGATGCAGGACTTTGTTAATGTATAGAACAGTCTCTGGTACTTAGTAACTACTTATTAACTATCTGTAGAAGGAAGGCTGGAAGTGTCACACTTAGATCATTTTCCTCACTCCTCTCTGCTGCCAAATAGGAAAACCCACCGACAACTTATCAAGTCTTCTCCACAACAGATATCTGTGACGATAAGGAAATTATCCTGGCACTCTGGAGAATATGCTAAGCAGGAAGCTTCAGTATAAATAATACATAGATCTTAATGTTTATTCTTGTCCAATGATAATATGACAGTGTAGGAATCTGCATGTTTAACAAGCACCCCAGGTGATTTTATACATAATAAAATTTTACACCATGGAAATTTCCATCATTTGGAAAGTACAATCTCTGAAGCCATTATAAAAATCTCTTAGTGTAAAATAAAAACATTTCTGTCTCACATAACCAGCCTTTTTGGATTTGGATAGAATCTAGATGAAGCACTGGGTAAAAGATACAATAAGGCTTGGATTCAAAATGATATTTTAGGGCCAGGGATTTAGCTCAGTGGTTCTGCTGCCTGCCTTGAAAGCACAAGGACCCGAGTTTGATCCCTGGTACCAAAAAAAGAAAAAGAAAACATATTTTACCCCAACTAGCTATGAACTTGGGCAATTTCTGATTCTCCCATCCATAAAAAATGGGAATGTGGGAAAAGGAAATTAGATTATTTTTGTTGTTGTTGTTGGGCATTGAACCAGGACCTTGTGCTTACCAGGCAGGTGGTGGAACCACTAAGCTAAATCCCCAGCCCAGGAAATTAGATTGTTTATTCTCTAGTACAGCCTGAATATTTTAACCTGCTTTCTGATCATAATAGGAAAACACCAAATAATTACTTAGTGCCTACTGTTAAGACCACCTTCTATGTCCCTTCCCACTATATGGGTAAACCTACCAAAGACACTTACCAAGATTCCACAGTGGTTTGATAACTATGCATATATAGGATACCGATTTGAGCCTCTCCGAATTCTCTAATAACCTCAACAGACTAGTCCAGACTCAATATACCTTCACCAGTGGCTTTGTTTCTCACAGCATTTGCTATCACCTGTAGAATAGGAAGAAGAAACATTCAAGATGGAAGAGTCAAAGTTTGAGATCTAGTTTTAAATGTATTTTTACCACTTTGGTCATCTATTCAGCTTGACTATGAACTTCGGATTTCCACTCTTGCTAAACTTTCACATTAGCATAACAATCATATTCTTTATCTTACAAAGGCTTCTGCAAGGCTTACAGCTATTTGTTTTGTTGGGGGGATTTGGTACTGGGGATCAAACTCTGGAACCTTGCACTTGCGAGGTAGGTGGAAGCACCACTGAGCTAAATCCCCAGCCCTAAGGCTTACAGTTATTTAATAAAGATTCTTGTTCCCATTTTATTGATTGATTTTGGTACCAGGGATCAAACTCGGGACCTTGCGCTTGCGAGGCAGGCAGCAGAACCACTGAGCTAAACCCCTGGCCCTCTTGTTCCCATTTTAAACACAATTTACTTGGATACAAATGCACCAAATGATTATAACCGAAGTGTTAGAAACTCTCACATGAACTAAACTTCCTGATTCCTGCCAATATCTATCTCTTTGATTAGAGAGTAAACTTGATCCCTTAGCAACCTTCCTACATCTGGCAGTTTAAGAATCTACATTCCAAACTGGGTGTGCTACACGCCTGTAATCCCAGCACTCAGGAGGCTAAGGCAGGAGGATTGGCAGGAGGATCGCTGTGAGTTTGAGACCAGCCTGGGATACATAGTGATTCCCAGGTCAGTCTCAACTACATAGTGAGTCCCTGTCTCAAAAAACCAAAAAAACTTGGGAGGCTGAGGCAGGAAGATCACTATGAGTTCGAGACCAGCCTGGGCTACATAGTGAGTTCCAGGTCAGCCTAAACTACATAGTGAGATCCCGTCTCCAAAAAAAAAAAAAAACAACAAAGAATCTACACTCCATACTCCTGACCAATGTAGTCCTTGTAGGTGAATGAAACCTCATCTAGTCAACGGATGACATCTGGTGGAAAAGATGACACTGTTAGGGAAAGTTAACAAAACTCTGGGCTCTGAACTAAGCCTTGTTATTTATAAGTTCAATTTACACCAAGTCTCACCTTGCCACAAATGAAAGGGAATACCTAGCTGCCTAGGCTATCAAAGGATCACAAAGAGCTACTATACCAGTGGCTAATCCCCTACCGCCAAGACTGAATCGCTGGGGGAACAAAGCTCTGATAGGTGGGACCACACAGGAAAGCCAAAGACCCCCAAGGATCTTCTAAGAAGGCAGCTTATTCCTTTGGGGTTTTTTGTTTTGTTTTTATTTTTTGATGGTGATAAAGTTTATTTTAAAATTAAAAGTGAAAAGTGAGGGAGAAACTGGCCCTGTAAAGCAAGTTTAGCTTGAGTAAAACCAATAAAAATAAGATAAAAGTAAACCCTGGAGGACACTAAGTGGCCTATAGGTGAGAAAAGTCTCCACAGTGAGCTTGACAGTGAGCTTTTCAAGGTGTCTGCATCCTTTTATGCCATGTAAATCTCAAAAGAACATGAGAAAACTTCTACATATGGTTCCTGAAAGGCGGTGCTGGGATCCCACAACTCTCTTCCCAGCCAGTCTAAGCCACACTCCATCTCCTATCTCATTTCTCCCAAAGAGACAGACATAAATCCTCATAATTCTTTATGGGGTGCTGAAGGAGTGGAGGTCTCTGTCTTCTACAGCTTCTTCAAACTGGAAGGGGCTACAGACCCTACTTCCTAGAGATTATGTACTCTCCAGCTACCTTGGAGTGCTATGGCTCACTGGGCAGCCTGTTCCTTATAAATTTTCCAGTCCCTAGCGGCTTAGCATAAACAGCAACTCAGAAATCTGGCAATTCAGCAATGACCCAAAGTTCAGGCTGTAAAAATTTTGGTTGTTTTGGTACTGTGGGACTCTGACCGGTGTGTTACCCAAGTTAGCTATAAACCAGATGTACATTCCTTAGCCTGCTTGCTAGAGATAAAATTGGAATAGAATGTTTGTACTACATACTAAGGAACTAAGTAATTACTCAAACCTTTGCACTGCCAAACGTCCCGAGGGTATGAAAATGATCAGTGTGTGAGATCTGCCTGCTCTTGACCCCTGCCCCTTGCCCACTTGCTGTATTTGTAATCCCCTCTCGGCCTGCCTTTAAAAACTGCAAACCCCTGAGCTGGCACCTCTCTGAGCTACTTGGTTCCGAGCGTGCCATCTGGCCAGACTAATAAACGTCTGTTTTCCAACTAGTCCAGTGTGTTCCTCTGCTGGGGATTCTCACTCCTCTGTTCAGCTCCCAGAGCACTCGCTGGGCTGTGGGCCCGGCATCTTGGAGGCCTTCGGGATGTTCAAGCTCCGTGGAGTAGAAGTAAGGCACTAGGTCTTACAGTACCAGGGATTGACCTCGGGACCTTGTGCTTACAAGGCAGGTGGCGGAACCACTGAGCTAAATCCCTGGTCCCCAGGCTCTAAATTTTTATCATTAGATGTAGCTAATGTTGCCAATACTTTTGTTACTCTGTAAGATGCAGGCAATCTTCGATTTAAGCCCTATCTCTGGGCCTTTTTTTTTTTTTAATACCCCCAGTACTACAGATTGAATCCAGGGCCTCTACACTGAGCTAAATTCCCAGCCCTTTTTAAATTTTTTTGTTTTGTTTTGTTTTTGGTACTGGGGATTGAACTCAGGCGGCCAGGCGGTGGAACCACTGTAAGACCTGAATGGGCTAAAGTGACTCCGCGCTAATAGGCCAGAGACTGTGCTTCTTCATATGCTAATTGCTAACTTGGCTAACAGCCCGCCCAGGGACAACTGGTACGACAAAAGGTGACCATAGAACATTTCCTGCATAAAATAAGCAGTGTGTTTGGAATCTTGTCCTCTGGTAGTTCTGTGAATGCCCTGACCTATGTTTGAACTTTTTTGTTTAGAAAAACTAGAAAACTACCTCAGCCCCTGAGCAGTTGCCTCTCTGAGCCAGTTACTTGGTCTGTTTACCATCTAGCCTGGTGTGTTCCTTCCTGGGTGACTCGTTCCTCAAGCTCCCGGAGCCCCGCTGGGTCATAGGACCCAGCATCGTAGAGGCCTTTTCGGCTGTTCATGCTCCGGGGAGTGGAAGGGAAACTTTCAGTCTTACACCACTGTGCTAAATCCCCAGCCCTAGCCCTTTTTAAATTTGAAACAAGGTTTCACTAATTCATTAAATTGCCCAACATGAGCTGAAACTTGAGATCTTCTTGCATCAGCTTCCCCAGAGCACTGGAATTAAAGGTATGCACCAGGGTTGGGGGTTTGGCTCAGTGGTTCCACCATCTCCCTTGAAAGTGCAAGGGCCCAAGTTCAATCCCTGGTACAAAAAAAAAAAAGGCATGCACCACCATGCTGGGCCAGCCAGAGCTTATTTTGTAATTCTTTCTCCCAGCAGCAAAAAAAGTATCTGTCTTCTAACTGCAAGCTTTCTCACCATAGGAGAGAGAAGACTACTGCTTAGCTGAAGGAAGGAAAATAGAGGCAAAAACCATGATGGAATCTCTTTACTGGAGCAAAGAAAGCTGCCATTTAGTAAAGCAATGTCTATACACTCACAAGCAGCTTCTACCATGAGCAATTAATTCAGACTGCTAAAGCTCAGAGGGGCAAGGTGGAAAAAGGAATTTGTTTAAAGCCTAATTGAAAAATAAATATAAATGTAAACCATGATCCATGAAATGCCTGCAGTAAGACGTCAAGAATGAAAAGATGATTAGTAGTTATTGCCTTTCTCTGATGAAAATAATGATGTTAGCCAGGCATGGTGGTGCGTGCCTATAATCCTAGCACTCAGGAGGCTGAGGCAGGAGGATCCCCATGAATTTGAGGACAGCTTGAGCTACATAGTGAGTTCAAGGCCAGCCTGAACTACAGAGCAAGACCTTGTCTCAAAAAAAAAAAAAAAAAAAAAAAAAAAACCACACACACACACACAAAAAAACACAACAGTGCCGGGGATTTAGCTCAGTGGTTCATCCGCCTGCCTTGCAAGCCCCGGTACCAAAAACAACAATAACAAAAAGAAAACAGTGATTCTACATTTGTGCATGCCAGTGCATAACTGTAATCCCAGCACTCTGGGAAGAAGAGGGAAGAGGATGATCAATCAAGGACAGCACAGTCAATTTAGTGATTTATTGAGACCTTATCAGAAATTTAAAAATACAAAGGGCTAGGGACATAGCTCAATGTTCCCTGAGTATTGTGCAAACAAACAAACAAATAATCTTATTTCTACCACTCCCTTCTCCAATACAATCCTGGTCTTTTCTGAAGTAAATTACTTCAATTTCCAATCCCCTCACTACCCAAATTTTACTCCATTTTTGGTCCAGTCAAAAAATTTCAGGGCCAAGGTTTTGGCTCAGTGGTTCCGTTGCCTGCTTTGCAAGCGTAAGGGCCCAAGCTAGATCCCCAGTACCCCTCCAAAAAAAGGGCTGGGGATTTAGCTCCACAGCCTGCCTTGAAAGCGCACAGACCAGAGTTCGATCCCCAGTACCAAAAAAAAATTTTCAGGGCCAGGATATAGCTCTGCAGTGCCACTCCTACCTGATAAGTGCAAGATTCTGAGTTTGAAATTACCCAAAATTGTAGAACATGTTAATGCTTGGGGTATGCTCTTGCAATAACTATCATGTACTTACACAAATTCAAGTTCACAATTTACAAAAATTAGATGAAATTTGCTTGGCCTTGTGGTGCATTCCTATAATCCCAGAACTCAGGAGGCTAAGGCAGGAGGACTGCCGTGAGTTCAAGGCCAGCCTGGACTACACAGTGATGTCAAGGCAAGTCTGAACTACACAGTGAGACTCTGTCAAAAAAAAACAAAAACAAAATGTAAGTATACTATTGCTCTGTGGCTTTCTGCACTTAATATTTATCTTTCCAAGTCAAATATTCCTTTTTTTTTTTTTTTTTTTGTATTGGGAATTGAACAGTTGGACCCAGGGAACACTGAGCTATACTATCAGCCCTTGTTTTATTTTACTCTGCGACAGGGTCTCATTACATCCCCCAAGCTGAGCTCAAACTTTTGATCTTCCTGTCTCAGTCCTACATATAGCTGGGATTACAGGCATGCACCACCATGTACAGCTAAGACTATTTTCCCTTTTATTTTGGTACCGGAGATCGAACTTGGGACTTTGCACTTGTGAGGTAGGAGGCGGAACCAGCGAGCTAAATCTGCAGCCCCGACTATTTTTTCTTTTTAATGGCTTATATTACGACATGAATACCCCAAAACTTATTTAACCAAATTCTTACTCATGAAACAGGTAAGTTTTTATATTGATTACTAGTGCTATAAATACTGTGGCTTTTAAAATTTGTTTTAGTATGGGTTTTTTTGGTTTTTTTGAGGCAAGGTCTTGCTATATAGTCCAGGCTGGCCTTAAACTCTCTTTGTAACCCAGGCTGTCCTCAAACTCTTGGCTAACCTCCTGCCTTGGCCTCCTGAGTGCTGGATTACAGGTGTGTGCCACCACACCCAGCTCTGCTATGAATATCATTAACATGCTCACCCCTAAATCCCCGCCCCCTGGTACTGGGGATCGAACTCAGGCCCTTGTGCTTGTGAGGCAGGCAGCAGAACCACTGAGCTAAATCCCCAGCGACCCCTAAATCTTTTAGAATACCCTTAAACACATACTTTGAACTATATTCAATGAAATTTATATAACCCCTTATTATTAAGAGAATTACAAAGATGAGTAAGCCATGGTCTCAAGACCTGTTACCATTAAAAGTATATTATGGGTTCTTCCCCATCCCATTATTCTTCTGAAGGATCTTTGCTTCAAAAGCCAAGGGCATCATTAAAACCTGGATGCCTTCATCATAGCATCTCCAAGAATAAACTACATGAAAAAATAAAACTGCTGGTATCACCACAAAGGGACAGACCTTAACCTGTTACTCATTAAACGAATGAATTTTTTTTCTGAGGCTGTTAGGGCCTTAAAAGATGTTTTTACCTAACAACAACAAAAAGTGACCCTTTACTTGGGACTTCAGATGCCCAATGTATAACTAAAAACAGAACAAAGCTTGGCATCCCTGCCTTTATTTTGTATGTCTCCTTTATTACCTTAAAACTTTGGATCAAATCCCTACTCAGTTCTGCACTGCAGGCAGTTAATCATTTAGGGAATGTCTGTCTAAAAGATAGTAATACAAGGTTTATGAGTCCTAAATTTACCTAGTCTATCTCATCCCACATCAAAACCTGAGGAAAACAAGATAAAAAGATTTGCAAAGACATCCAACTTTTAGGAGAAATCCCCAGTCATTGCACTAAAACAGCAGTTTCCTTACGGCAGAGCCTCTTCGATACTGAGGCTGTGCCCCAAAGCAGGAGCAATCATGTTGTAAGAACCAGATTATCCCCTCAATCAGTAAGGACTCTTCTGAGAGCTTTATGGAACCAGGAATGAGATAATTATCAACCAGACCCTAAGCCACCTCAAAAAACTGGCCTGTTTTCCTTTATTAGGGGCCAACCTTATCTTTTCCTCCATCCGCCCCTTGCTATCTTCAGCTTTTCTTCTCAACCTTAAGTCTCTTTCCCATTTTCTCTTATTTTCCAGTAAAAACCTCACCTATAAATTCATGCTGATGGCTCAGTTTTAATTTTCTATTATCACTTAAACAAGGACCTACATTAGCTGCTAACACCAGACGATGCTCCTGTAAATAAAACAGGAAAAAATCTTGACACAAACATTAACAAATGAAATTAAAAAATATGAGGGCTGGGGATTTAGCTCAGTGGATCTGCGCCTGCCTCCTCGCAAGCACAAGGTCCTGAGTTCAATCCCCAGAACCAAGGGGAAAAAAAAAAAAAGAATTTCTAAAATGCTACGATCTCTGGTGACTGAAGTGGGGAATGAAATCATCATCATTGAGCGATGATCCAAACCAGGATCACTGATTTTTTTAAATACAGGCTTTAGAAAACCACTGAATTCAGCTATTCAGCTACTCAACTCCCCAAGCCCTGCTGGGGAGCCACAGGCAAAAGACATCAAAGGATGAGCAGGATTATGTTCCAATAGAAAGTAATGTGTAAGAACAGGCAGCCCAGGGCTGGGGATTTAGCTCAGTCTTGCCGCCACTTTAAGCATGAAGACTGGAGTTCAATCCCTGATACCACCACCACCACCACCACCAACAACAACAACAGGCAGCCCAGAGGTGACAGAGATTACTTACCCCAATCTTAAATGTGGAGTCCTCCAAAGAAATACTATTTGACCTGGAAAGGAATGAAAAGAATGACTGTGTTAAAGTGCAGCTCAGGAGTAGAATGCTCACCTAGAATGTTACAAGACCCTGTATTCTATACCCAACATATAAAAATAAAGAGAAGAAGCAGGGCGTGGTGGCACATGCCTGTAATTCCAGCGCTCCGGAGGCTGAGGCAGGAGGATCGTTGTGAGTTCGAAGCCAGCCTGGGCTACATAGTGAGTTCCAGGTCAGTCTCAACTATATAGTGAGTCTCTGTCTCAAAAAACAAAAATAAATAAATAAATAGATGAGGTGAGTCTACAAACAGGCACCATTTATTAAAACAATGAGGATGAGGACAGGGGATTTAGCTCAGTGGTGCCACACCTGCCTGGCAAGTACAAGATCCTGAGTTCAATCCCCAGTATGAAAAAAAAAAAAAACGAGGATGAGACTCTAGCAGCTATCATCCACAAATGAATCAAGTGTCTGCAGTACCAACAGTAGCAACATCTTCAAATACCAATGACTGAGGTCCAAACCTAAAAACCGTATTGTCTCATTCAAGAAAACTTGACTTTTTTTTTCCCCAGTACTAGGGATCGAACCCGGATCCTTGTGCTTACAAGGTAGGCGGTAGAACCACAGAGCTAAATCCCCGGCCCCTATGAAAAACTTCAGAAGTTTCAAGAACTGAAAGAAAAGAACTGCCAGGGATTTAGCTTAGTGGTACTGCCGCCTTACAAGCACAAGGTCCTGAGTTTGATTCCCAGTAAGAAAGAGAGAGGAAGGAAGGAATGAGTGAATGAACTTCCATCCTAGCACTTGAGAAGCTGAAGCAGGAGGGTCACCATGTAGCCTAGGCTACAGAGTGAGTTCAAGGCCAGTCTGAACTAGTGAGACTCCCGAAAGAAAGAAAGAAAGAAAGAAAGAAAGGGAAAGAAGGAAAGAAAACATCTTCCAACCAGATTAATAAATCCTGCAAAATTATCTTTCAAAATGGATGGAGAAATAAATAATGACAAAGAGCACCTTAAAAAAAACATCATGACCACCAAATAAGCCCTCCAAAATAATTCTCAGGGCCAGGGGCCACGGATCTAGCTCAGTGGCACCACACCTGCTTTCCAAGTGCAAGGTCCTGAGGTCCTGAGTTCTATCCCCAGTATCAAAAAAGTAATAATAATAATTCTCAAGGACATCCTAGATATATATTGAAGCCAACAAAGCCAAAAAGTCTAATAGAATGAATGTATCTGGCAAGATAAGCAGTTAAGCAAAAGGAGAAAAAAGGGTATCCACAGCAGGATAATAATTAAATGAGAGGAATAACTCAATGACTTTCAGTAATAACTCAAAATGTGAATGGCCTCAACTCCCCAAAGGACAGGTTGGAAGAATAAAAACAAAAAACAAAAAACCAACATATGCTGTATAACAAGAAACATATTAGCCGGGCGTGGTGTCGCACGGCTGTAATCCCAGCACTCGGGAGGCTGAGGCAGGAAGATCGCTGTGAGTTCAAGACCAGCCTGGGCTACATAGTGAGTTCCAGGTCAGTCACAGCTACATAGTGAGACTCTGTCTCAAAAACAAACAAACAACAACAACAACAACAAAAACCCCCAAATTATCCTGTGCAGATTATCGAGCATAAAACAATGAAACTAGAAATCAATGGCAAAAGAAACCAAATAAACTATGCAAACATAAGGAAATTATACAATACATTCTTTTTTGTTTGGTTTGGTTTGGTTTTTTTGAGACAGGGTCTCACAATGTAGTTGAGACTGACCTGGAACTCACTATGTAACCCAGGCTGGTCTCGAACTCACAGTGATCCTCCGGCCTCAACCTCCCCAGTGCTAGGATTACAGGCATGCGCCACCATGTCTGGCCTGCAATATACACTCTTGAATAATCAGTGGTCACAGAAGAAATCAAGAAAGAAATCAGATAGTCCTTACCATCATACAATAACACCAGTACAAATACCAGAACCTAAGGGGCACAATGAAAGCAGTACTGAAAGGAACTGTGAATGACCACATCAGAAAAAGAGAGAGAGAGCCTAAATAAATAACCTAATGATATATTTCAACATCCTAGAAAAAGAACAATCTGTATGTGAAGCTAGTACAAGGAACAAAATTATAACGATCAGAACAGAAATTAATGAAATTGAGACGAAAAAAAAAAAAACATAAAACAAAATCAACTGGGCGTTGTGGCGCACACCTGTAATCCCAGCACTTGGGAGGCTGAGGCAGGAGGATCACTGTGAGTTCAAGACCAGCCTGGGCTACATAGTGAGTTCCAGGTCAGTCTTAACTACATAGTGAGACCCTGTCTCAAAAAAAAAAAAAAAAAAAAAAAAATCAATAAATCAGAGCACATTCTTCAAAAAACTAAACAAAATAAGACAACTCCTTTGCCAACATTATCAAGAAGAAAAAAAACAAAAGACAAATCAATGTAGTTAGAAATGAAAAAATGAAATTGCAACAGATACCATCCAAATCCAAAAGACTATTAGGAACTACTTTGAAAACCTATACTCCAATAAGTTGAAGAATCCAAAAGAAATGGATAGATCCCTAGATACATATGGATTACCAAAACTGAACCAAGAAAATATAAAACCCTGAATAATCCAATAACAGGCAATGGATAATGCAATAACAGGCAATGAAATTGAACCATTGAAAAAAAAAATTCCCCAAATAAGAAAAGCCCCAGATCCGATAGATTTACTGTAAAACTCTGAAAGAATCTCAGGGAAGATCTAACACTGATACTCTTCAAAATCTTTACTGGAAGAGAAAGGGAAAGAGTACTCCCAAAGTCATTCCTGGAAGCTACCATTACCCTAATAGCAAAACCAGACAAGGACTCACAAAAAAAAAAGACAACAGGTTTATCCTTTTAATTAATATAGATGCAAAAATGCTCAAAAAGATATTGCCAAACAGAATGCAATGAATCATCAAAAAGATCATACATCATGACTAAGCAGCCTTCATCCCAGGGATGCAAAGTTGGTTCAACATATGCAAATCAATAAATGTAATATACCACATAAACAGAGGTAAGGACAAAAATCACATGATCATCTCAATAGATTCAGAAGCCTAACAAAATCCAACATCCACTCATGGTAAGAACCCTGAAGAAAACAGATATGAAGGGCCTTATCTCACTCTCATAAAAGGTATTCATTAAAAAACAAAACAAAAAAACCTGTTCCAGGTCAGTCTCAACTATATTAGTGAGACCCTATCAAAAAACCAAAAAACAAACGAAAAAACAAACCTACTGCAAGGGCCAGGGGTTTAGCTCAGTGGTGCCACCTGCCTGCCTCGCAAGCACAAGGTCCTGAGTTCTATCCCCAGTACAAAAACAAAACAAAACAAAACAAAAAAAACCTACTGCAAACATCACATAAAACTAAATAGAGAGCTCAAAGTTTTCCCTCTAAAATCAGGGTTTTAGTTCAGTGGTTCTGCTGCCTGCCTGGCAAGCGCAAGGACCCAAGTTCGATCCCCGGTACCAATAAATAAATAAAATCAAATCAGGATTCAGACCAGGATATTCAATATCATCACTCCCATTCAACAGAATATTCCACACATTAGTCAGAGAAATCAGTCAAGAGAAAGAAATAAAAGGAATGTGTATAAGAGGACTGGGGATTTAGCCCAGTGGTTCCACTGCCTGCTTCGCAAGCACAAGGATCTCCAGTACCAAAAAAAAAAAAAAAAAAAAGGAATATGTATAAGAAAGGAACTAAATGCATCAAAGATATAAATGTTAAAACAAACAGAATCTGCTGCTTGATACAATACATAAAACTCTTGTAGACATAGGCGTACGCAAGAGCTTTCTGAACAGAACTCCAATTCCACAAGAAACATGAAGAATCAACAAATGTATCCAGGAATGGTGGCCACATGCCTGTAGTCCTAGTACTTAGAAGGCTGAGACAGGAAGATCACCCCAAATTCAAGGCCAGCCTGGATTAAACCATGAGTTCAAGGACAGTCTAAACTACATAGAGAGACTCTGTCTCAAAACAAACAAATAAAAAGAATCAACAAATGGGATTATATCAAAATAAAAGGCTTCTGGACAGCAAAGGATACAACCCAGGGGACAGACAACCTACAGAATGGGAAACACTTTTACCAGCTATTCCTCAGAGGACTAACATCTAGAATATATAACAAACTAAAAACCTTTCATTCTCCAAAATAAAGGACCCAATCAAAAACCGGGCAATTGAAATGAATAGACCAACTAGGTGTAGTGGTACATGCCTACAATCCCAGAACTGGGGAGACTGAGGGAAGAGGATTGCCACAAGTCTGAGGTCAGCCTGAGCTATATAAGTTCAAGACCAGCCTGAACTACATAGTGAGACCCTCTCTCAAAAAACCAAAAAGAAAAACAAAAAAAAAAGAAAAAAAAATCCATTTGATCCAACTATAACCCTTCTAGCTATCTTCTCCAAAGAGGTAAAGACATTATATAATGGTGACACATGTATACCCATGTTTATAGCAGCACAATTAATAATAGCTAAATCTTGGAAGTAGCCTCTATGTCCATCAAGAGATGAATGGATAAAGAAAATGTGCCCCCCAAAATGGAGTACTACTCTGCCATAAAGAAAGATAAATTTGAAAAGGGCATGGTGGCACACGTCTATAATCCTAGCATTTGGGACTCTGAGGCAGGAGGATTGCCTCGAGTTTGAGGCCAGCCTGGGCTACATAGTGAGTTCAAAGCCAGCCTAAACAACATGAGGAGACACTGTCTCAAAATAAAACGACAACAAAAAAGATACACTTGAGTCATTTGTAGGCAAACGGATGCACTTTGAGACCATATTGTTAAGTGAAAAAATCAAGACATACAAGCTAAATATAGCACGATTTCTCTAATATGGGAAACCCAAACTATAAATAAATAACAAGCAAAATAAAAGATATTAGGAAACAGGGATATAGGTCTTTTGCAAAAGGGATGTGGACCAAGAGATGGACTGAGGGGAAGGCGATGAAAAAAAAAACCAGAATTAAGATGTATTATGTACATATACCAACTCCCTACAATTAATCATTAGAACTACGAATATGTACTAATAAAATAAACTTAAAACATATACAAATTAAAGTGTTTAAAAGAAACTTGAAAAGATACATACATAACTAAAAACAAGTATCAGGTTTTCATCACATGAATTTGAAAGCAACAGTTGGCAGTCCCAGGCCTGTGGAGATCATGTTAGCAAGCCCGTAACAAATGTTTGTTGATGACTCATTCATTTATTCATCCACTAAGCATACTGAGTCCTATCAATGTGCCAAGCTGAGCTCTGACAATGAAGGCACTATTACTGCCCTCAAGGAGCTCACAGACTAATAATAGAAAAGTGACAAGTATATACACAGACAATTACAATACTATCTGGTAAATGCTGTAACACCTATCAGGTTGTACTAACAAAGGCCAATGTAAAATTTCTTTCCAGAGGGTGCTGCTCCAGGCTACTGCTGCTGAACCTCAAGAGTGTAGAGGAACACTAGCTGAGTGTGCATTCCTGTAATCCCAGCACTGGGTTACCTGACCCAGGACTGTTAAGGCAAATTCGAGACCAGGTGAAATCTCGTGTCAAAAAAGAAAGAGAGGTAGAACAAACTAGAAATCAAAATGTTAAATGCTTTCTAGCTATTTCAAATATAGAGAGTCTCCCTAATCCGTGATCATAGATAGATTTGGGAATTAGACATCGGCATGAGGTAAAATGGGGCTGCCATGCTTAAACTAGGCACTGATCTCTAACAGGCTATTCTCAACCACCTCTTCTAGGCCAGGTGTGGTGGCGCACGCCTGTAATCCCAGCACTCGGGAGGCTGAGGCAGGAGGATGGCTGTGAGTTTGAGACCAGCCTGGGCTACATAATGAGTTCCAGGTCAGTTTCAACTACATAGTGAGACCCTGCCTCAAAACAAACAAACAAACAAACAAAAACAATCAACCACCTCTTCTAAAATATGAGCTTTTTTCTCCTTCTCACTTATATACTTCTCAACCTCCCCACCTTACCTCACACAAGCCTGGTTTAATATCTACACCTAGAAAAATGCTGAGAAGCAGGAGTTTACAACTAACTGGATTAACTCAATGTAACTAGGTAGGTGCACCACCATGTTCAGCCAAGGCCACATACTTGGGTAAAAAGGAAAAAGGATTAATTTAAAGCTAGCTCCCAGGAGATGGAAGCGCCTAATGTCTTGAATCACCACCTCTCGGTTTACAGGTGGGCAAGAGTAAGAATAGAAGGGAATAAAAACACTGATTGAATACAGATTTTTACACTTGCCTTATTTATCACTTCCATTTTCTTCAGCTCATCATGCTCTTTCTTATGGAAAAGAAACCAGGCTCTTGGCCTCCTGGGGCTAGCATCTGCATATGCTGTCTCTTCTTTTGAGCTAAGAGGGAGTGTTGTTGGTTGGCTATATGATTAACAGGAATAAGTTTGGAGAAGTTGCTTGTCTCTATTAAAAAAAAAAAAAGCACCTAACATAAAAGTTTCATTTTGCAGTGCTGTTTACAGTATGAGTCCCAGGCAGCCATTTGTTCAAATCGCAAGGTCCGAGGGTAACAAGCATTTGGAAACAAAGCCAAAGTCTACGTTCTTAAAGGGAAAAAAATCAAGTTTTTGGCCAACAGATTCTTACGATGATGACGCACCCACTTTGTTCTGCAACTCCAACTACAGTAGCCCAAGACCGAAAGTCAGATTCAGAGAGCCTTTTGAATGTGTACTGCCTGAAACGGGGGGCCTCTAAGTGCTTTTCATGCATTTCCTATACACAGCCAACTGCAGTAACCTTTTAGAGACAAAACATTACTGAATTGTTTTTTGTTTTTTTTTGGGGGGGGGTGTTTGTTTGGCACCGAGAATCGAACTCAGGACCTTGCGCTTGCGAGGCAGGCGGCGGAACCACTGAGCTAAATTCTCGGCCAAGGACATGGCTAAATTGCTCAGGCTAGGCTCGAATATGGGATCCTCCCACCTCAGCCTTCCTACTAGCTTGACCACCACGCCTGGCCTCTTCCTCCTCCTTATTAAAACTTTTTTTTTTTTTTGGTAGTGGGGATCGAACTCACGACCTTGCGCTTGCGAGGCAGGCGTGGTGCCACTGGGCTAAATCCCTGGCCCCTAAAATCACATTATCGATACGCCAGCGAGAGGCCTACTACTTCACAGTGATTTGGTCACAGCCTAGGACAATTCCCTTCAACAAGGAGATCCGCTTCTCCACATACCCTGCTAAACCAAAATAATTTACCGCCAACTCTCTCGCCATTTTGTAACCTTAATTATCCGCAAACGCCCGCCTAGCTCCCTTCTGCGCATTCTATCTAAAATACGCATGCGCGCCACTCCCTCCCCACGGCGGACTCAATCGTTACCATATTGTCCCAAACACACATGCGCGCCTTCACTCCAAACTGCCAGGGTAATTTTGCCCACTGCCATCCCTATGCATGTCTTTGCTTTTCCGTATTCCCCCAACCCATGCCTTGCGGCTGCGCGCCTCCCAACAACGGAAGCCTCCCCGCTTTACGTCAGGCCTTCTCAAAAATTAGCGCCATCATTCAACGATGCGTTTCCTCATCCATTCCCTCAAACGCCGGGCACACCGTGCAAACCCTCCCTCTTCTCCCGACTCCCGCTACTACTTTGTATATATAATATACATATGCCTGATGATATCTGGGCGTGCTTCTTGCCACAGTTGTGCCTCAATGCCCAAAATGAGTCATTCATCCTTTCCTAATACGGTTGGATTCGGAAATTGAATATGCAAAAAGGCGCTACGGCTGATCGGAGCAAATCCCGGATCGACACAGAACGCGCCCCGACCCCAAGGGAGGGGCTGGTGATCCCGCAGATCCATATTATGTAGTAGGACCCCTACCTAAACAAAGGCAAAGAAAGCTCCACATAAACCCTCGGATGAGCCCTACACGATAGCCTCACTCCTTAGATAAACCTGCTACAAATGACAAACCCCAACTTTAAACAGAAAGTTAGGTAAAATACCATGGTCAGGTGCCTCAAGCCGGCTTGGAGAAAAAAAAATCTGTATTGTTTTCGCAATAATAAGTAGATGCTCAGCATCCTTTTGGAGGTCTGAGGCCTATACTGGCCCCCATTTTCTCTCCCGTCAACAGAGAATGCACAAATTAAGGATTTCCCTGGCCCGAGTTCCCTCCGCCGCCCTCCATGTCATATCCTTGCCTTAAGTCATTCCTTTACCTCCCGGCTTTAGTCGAATGTCGTAGCAACAATTCTTAGAGCTGGCAGTCCCAAAACAGTGTGGAGAGAGCGGCAAGACAGGCTGAAATGTCTAGATGGCACCCGGAGGTATTAGCAGCAGGGAATATGAGGCAGAGAATCTGCTCCAGCAGCAGCGCAGACGCCAAAAGCCGCCAGCTTCTCCCCGGAGCGCCGCAGTGAGCGTCTGGCGCATGCGCTGCGCGCCTCCCCACCCCTATCCGCGCCCCTAGGAGTCTAACCTCTAACAATCCGCCAGCTGCTTTCCCCGCTTCGCCAGGACTCAGGTCCCTAATTCTTCTACCATTCCATTCCCCTGGTTCTTACCAGCCTCCACAAACTATCTTATCCTCAGCCCATCTTTCTTTCGTCATTCCTCTTTCATTCTTAGCCCAGTATTTCATTGAAAAGTCTCATTACGTTTAGTCCCGTTATCCTTAATAGCCTCCCCTCCCTTCCTTAGCCTTCCCTGCTTCTCTGCAGACCTACTGGGCCTCTTCTTTAGAATTTTACAAATTGTAAAAAGTTAATTTTTAAAATAAATAGGGCCAGGGATTTACCTCAGCGTTACAGTGCCTGCCTGGTAAGCTCAAGGTCCTGAGTTCGATCCCCGGTACCAAAACTAACTAAATAAATATATAATAAAATAAATAACGTGCAAAATATATTGTTTAAAAAACAACAACAGCAAAAGAAGACAGTAAGGCCCTGTCTAAAAATAAAAAAGAAGGCTGTGGGAGCAACTCAGTGCGAAAGCCCTGGCGGCTTTTTTTTCCCCCCTCGTTTTCTTTTTTTCTGATACTGGGGATTGAATTTAGGACCTTGCGTTTGCGAGGCAGGAGCTGGAACCATTGAGCTAAATTCCTGGCCCCTGGCATGGAGGATTTTTAAAGGTCGGGCATGATACGTCAGCATTTGGGGGGTGGAGCTGGGCTATTGAAACCAGAACCTTGCTCATGAGTCGCACCACTGAGCTGCACCCCTAAGCCAGGAAAGCCAAACTCTTAGAAATTCTACAGATCACAACATCGGAACAGGAATGGATTCATACTCAAATTTTGTGACTCAAATGTTGAAAACAAACAAAAAAGGTAAACAAGGCCACTTAATCGATTGTTGCACTTTTGATTTCTTACATAAAAGGCTGAAAGATGCTGGAACACCTGTGAATGAGACCCTGGGCCAGGCATAGAGCCTGTGACGTCATAGAGGCCCCTAGAGGCAAAGAGCCATTTCCATCTAAGCCTTACCAGGGGAAGCTGCCTTGCAGCCTGTGTGGCAGCGGAGGCCGGGTGTATTCCTTGGAAGATCTCACCCGCAGCCATGAGTAGTAAAGAATGCTTCAAGTGTGGACAGTCTGGACACTGTGCCCGGGAATGCCCTAAAGGAGGAGCTCGAGGGAGAAGACCTAGAAGCCGTGGCAGAGGTCCGCAGTGCAGTTCCACCGCCCAGTCTGACATCTGTTACCGCTGTGGTGCGGTTGGTCACCATGCCAAGGACTGTGACCTCCAGGACATCTGCTACAACTGCGGGAAACGTGGTCACATCGCCAAAGACTGTCCTGAGCCTAAACAAGAGAAAGAGCAGTGCTGTTACACCTGCGGCAAACCAGGCCATTTGGCTCGTGATTGTGACCGTCGGGAAGGGCAGAAATGCTTCTATTGCCATGAATCGGGGCACATCCAGAAAGACTGCGCCCACATCAGGTGCTACCGGTGTGGTGAGATCGGCCACATGGCCATGAACTGCAACAAGGCAAACGACGTCTGCTGCTACCGCTGCGGAGAGCCTGGACATATAGCCCAAGAATGCCCCGCTGAGACCACAGATTAGTTCCCTCCCCTAGCCCCCCTCCACTGCTGATTAGTTGTATTTTCTCTAAAATCTCTTCGGTGATCAGATGGTTGATAGATGGAGGCTACTCTGAGATCATTAAGTTTTAATTGCTGCGTTAAAGAAGGAAAGAGCTGGAGGGAAAAAAAATCAAAAAAAAAGTTATTACAATTAATGTGCTGTTTCTGAGCCGCACAGAAAACCAGATATTGTCTAGTCATTCAAAGCACTAGACAATTTCTTGGATCTTTGGATGTATTTTGATTTAATACATTCAATTAGAAGTTAGAACAACTTTTGGAACACAGCCCTTGAATCTATTAACCCACAGTGTGTCAGATAAAGGTAAATTGCCACAAAGAAAAGAAACAAGTAGAAAAGAAAAGAAGAGAAACTAATGTGGAGGGGGGAAGACTGTCCTTTTAGGCACCCAAAACCGCCCTGAGGAGATAACGTTTCCTCAGAATGATAGAGCAAATAAAGCTGATTCTATAAATGTCTATGACTTTATCAACTTTATTATATTTAACTTTATTGTATTCATGTCTTTGCATTATTTGGCCTCATTAGCTGCCCCTATACAGGTAACATTAAGAGACATCTCTCGCCCTTCATAGAGTATATAGCTTAATAGAAATAAATGGGAAAAATCTATAAGATGCATCAGTAGCTTTGAGAAAGAGAACATCAGAAAAAAAAAAAAGCCTTAGAGCATGGGCCAGGGATTTAGTGCAGTGGTACTGCACCTGCCTTGCAAGTGCAAGGTTCTGAGTTCAATCCCCCGTACCTCCCCCAAAAAAAGTTCCTTACAGTAAATTGTGGATCTACATATGACAAATACTTTGTGGATCTACATATTACTTTGATAACAAAGTTTATACCTACATATGTTTAAAATTCTAGGAAGACAAATATAATGATTAAGATTTAGCATAGCTTGAGTGTTTCATAATTTCAGAAATACTCTTCACAGAAATGAAAATTATACTTAGGAGCCTCTAAAAAATGTTTTTTACAGATGTAAAAGTGTTGGGCCTGGGATTTAGCTTAGTGGCACCATGCCTGCTTTCCAAGCACAAGGTGCTGAGTTCGATCCCCAGTGCCAAAACAAAAAAAACAGATGTAAAATTGTTGAGTTTGGAACTGGAGGAGTTTGGAGTAGAGCTCTTAGCTACCATTTGAGACTCTGGGTTTGATTTGCAGCACCCCTCCCCAGCCCCCCAAAGAATATTGAGTTTCATATAAAATATAGTTTTGAAAAATCAGATCTGAAAAACAATTGAACTTATATAAAATACAAAAACACTTTTTTTTTCTCTGAGGTACTGGAAATCACACTCTGGTCCTCACACATGCTAAGCATGCTGTAACTGTAGCACTGAGCTACATCCCTAGCTCAGGATTGTGTAGGAGACCAAATATTCATATTCTCAGAGTTGTTTTTGAGCCTAACATAACCACCTCCATGTTTACATCTGAGTCACCTCACTGGCACAGACGTGCCAATGACTGTACTAATGGCCTTGCTCATTTAATGACCTAATCTGTTACATAACAACTGTATCTCATCATGACTGTTACTGTACAATATGTTTCTCCTTTATCATTTTATGATTAGCCACTTCCTCTTACAAATTTGTGGTTTTTGCCTTTATATACTGCTTGTGCCTGCAAATAAATGAGACCTTGACAACTCTTTGCTTGGTCTCCTTCTCTCTGCGCCTCTCTTGTCCCATTTCCAGGTATCTCCCCTTCTCGAGCTCTACTAATTACAAGCCCTGCTGGCCGGGGCAGGATTGTGTATTTGCACAGCTCAAAACCCATCTGGACTTTCCTTTCCCATGTCCTCAGGAATATGGATCAGAGAGTGGGAAAGTGATTGTGTCCCATTTATTAAGGACACACTCAATATTTAAGTCCTCTCCATTTCTTTTCTCCAGGCAATCTTTTTTTTTTGCTTGCAAAATTTTCTCCAGTGTTTATTCTTCAAATTTCTGTTTGATATTTTTCTTTTTAGGCCACCTTTTCTAGTCTCAAGGGAAGGAAAGTCTTATTTGGCTCATCAGTATCTCTAATCCAAAAGACAAAAAAAATAGCAGCCCTCCCTGTATGTGCACTCACAAGGATGGGGCAGGAGAATCCCTGGGGGTTCGAGGCTAGCCTAGACTACATAGTGATTTCAAGGTCAGCCTGAACTACATAGCAAGACTACCTCAAAACAAACGAACAAATAACCCCTCTAAAAGAGCAACTCATTTACTGAATCAGTCTGACAAAAGTGTTTTATTTGACCTACATAATGTTTAACAATACCTGTGAGGGCCGGGGAGTTAGCTCAGTGGTTCTGCCGCCTGCCTCACAAGGAGCCGAGTTCAATTCCTGGTACAAAAAACAAAAACAAAAAAACCAATGCCTATGAATTCGATGAAAACATCTAAAAAGTGAAACACTTCACATAAAAATACTTATTTTTAATCTTCCTGGAACAAAAACAAAGATAAGGAAGCAATAAGCACACTTTCCCATAAAGATACTTTTAGCTGCAGGTGAGTAGCACTTTCTTCCTGCAGACAAGTCACAGAGCCCTCTATTAACTCCAAGTTCCACTACTCCCTGTAGTCGTCAAACACTCAGATGGCAGGGCATATTTTGTTCATTTACTTTATCTGCCAAGCCCCTGTAGCCATTGTAATCTCTAGCTCTTGCTAATGCCTGAGAGTTGTAATATATATTTCTCACATTAATAAATGCAGGGCTGGCTGGGGATTTAGCTCAGTGGTTCCACTGCTTGCCTTGCAAGCGCAAGGTCCTGAGTTCGATCCCTGGTAACAGAAATAAATGAATGAATGAATGAATAAATAAATAAATAAATAAATGCAGGGCCAGGATTTAGCTCAGTGTTGTCATGACTGCCTGGCAAGTGCAAGGTCCTGAGTTTGATTCCTGGTACTGAAATAAATAAATAAACAACCAACCAAACAAATGCAAATGTGGACCAGGGGTATGTCACAGTGGTAGAGCATTTGTCTGACATCATGTATGAGACCCTAGGTTTGATCCCCAGCATTGGGGGAAAAAATGATGCAAACAGCAAAGCACATTATATTAATAGAGATTAAAAAGATACTTTAGGCAGGCTGGGGATTTAGCTCAGTGGTGCTGATGCCTGCACAGGGTCCTGAGTTTGATCCCTAGTATCAAGTAAATAAATAAAAGCAAAGTAACAACTGGGCATTTTGGTACACACCTGTAATCTTAGCTCACAAGAGGCTAAGGAACAACTATCAAAAGTTCAAGGCCAGTTTTGGTAATTTAGTGATATCAGGTCTCAAAATAAAATTAATACCACTGGGGATGTACCTCAGCAGTGGAGCACTTGGCTCCCACACAAAAAGCCCTGAGTTCTATCCCTAGTATAGTAAAAGGAAAACAAAAATAGAAAAACATTTGTTTAAAAAATAATTTAGGACCTGGATTTAGCTCAGTGGTTCCACCACCTGTCTCACAAGCTCAAGGACCCCAATTCAAAGTGCAAGGATCAAGTTCAATCCCCAGTACCTAAATAAATAAAATATTTCTGGGGAGGTAGTCCAGTGTGAGGGCCCTTGGCTCAATTTCCAGTACCGAAAATTAATTAATTAATTAATTAACAATATTAATCTTTTTCAAAAAACCTCCTCTTGCATCCAAGAAGATGAAAGAGACACGCCTATTCTTCCCACTAAACACAACTAAAAGCTACTCTTGATGATGCAAGCCTGTAATCCCAGCACTTGGGAGGCTGAGGCAGGATTGCCTTGAGTTTGAGGCCAGCCTAGGCTACATAGTGAGTTCAAAAAACAGCCCGAGAGGCATGGATTTACCTCAATGTTTCCACTGCCTGCCTCACAAGCGCAAGGTCCTGAGTTAGATCTCCAGTATCAAAAAGGAAAAAAAAAAGAAATTTTGATAGGAACTGATATAAATAAATAAATACACAAATAAACTGGCTCTGGTTAGCCAAAGGTCAAGCAAAGATGCAGTGTAGAAAAACCAGAATACATTTAAACAATAAGCTCTCTCCTTCAGCAAAACACTACTGAAAAAAACATGGCCTCACCACCCTCACCACAGCTTAGTGGTGAGCCCATACTTATACCCTATTGACAGTCATGTGCTCCAGTACGCTTTCTGAGGTGCAATCAGAAAAGGTCTATTAAGGGCTGGGGATTTAACTCAGTGGCACTGCACCTGCACTGCAAGTGCAAGGTCCTGAGTTTGATTTCCGGTAATGAAAAATAAAATAAAATAAAATAAAAGTAGTAGTAGTAATGAAGTGGTTCTTTTAAAAGTGGATAGGGCTGGGGATTTAGCTCAGAGGTTTGGTGGCCTGCCTTGCAAGCACAAGGACCCGAGTTCAATACCCAGTACCAAAAACAAAAAAACAAAAAAAACAAAAACTGAAAGTGGATAAACTTCAGCAAAACTAACAAAGAAAAAAGAAATGTGCCCATTATCAGTAAGGAAATAGAGTATACAACTACAGGCCCCGCAGACATCTAGAGGATTACAAAGGTTACTTATGAGCAACTCTATACACATAAGTTTGACAGCTTAGGTGAAATGGACCAATTCTTTAAAAAACACACACCACCACAATTCATCCAATACCAAAATGGATAACGTTTTAGCTTTATAACTATTAAGGAAATGTGGTTAATAATAGGATGTCCCTCCAAATTTCCAGAACTACATGATTTTTTGGGGGAGAGGGTACCAGGGATCGAACTAGGGTCCTTATGCTTGCGAGGCAGGCAGTGGAATCACTGAGCTAAATCCCTGGCCCCAGAATGATATGTGTTTGCTGGAGTATACTAACAAAATTTTGAAGAAGAATTTAAAAAGGGCTGGGGATTTAGCTCAGTGCTTCTGCCGCCTGACTCACAAGCACAAAGACCCAGGTTCAATCCCCAGTACCCCCTCAAAAACCAAGCATATACAAAACTGATTAAGAGACAAAGAAGGTCACTACATCCTTATAAAGGGGACAAGAGGAAGAGGAAGAGATAACCGTCATTGGGCCAGGGATTTAGCTCAGTGGTTCTGCTGCCTGCCTCTCAAGCGCAAGGACCCAAGTTTGAGCCCTGGTGCCAATAAATAAATAAATAAATAAAATAATCAAATATATATGCACCAAATACCAGCATACCCAACTATACAAAACACATAGTAACAGATATGAAAAATCAAATAAGCACTACTACACTATTACAATTGTAATGGGGGCTCATAATACCCCACTGTCACAAATAGATGAACAAGGTAAAAAAAAATCAACAATGCAATATCAGAACTAAACCAAATTTTTGAAAAAATGGACTTAGTAGATGTCTTCAGAGTGTTTCACTCCACAACATCAGAATACACATTTTTTTCAATGGCACATGGGACATTCTCCAAAATAGTTCACATTCTAGCCAATAGAACAT